TAAAACCTTTAAACAACTTCTTCTGAATAACCAAGAGGCCTAGGGTGATGATATTTGGCCAGTAACATGCTTGGATGAAAGGCTACCAAGTTTGTTCAAATGAATGACCACGACATATATTCAAGGCCACAGGGGTCAACTATGTTAAAAACCTTTTAACAACTTCTTAATAAGCAAAAGGCCAAGGGTGATGATATTTGGCCATTAACATGCTGGGATGAAGGGCTACCAAGTTTGTTCAAGTGAATGACCTTCGCCCATATTCAACGTCACAGTGGTTAATATATGTTTAAATATTTAAATGATTTGTTCTGTATAACCAAACGGTACAGGGTGATGATATTTTGCTAGAAGCATGCTGGGTTGGAAGACTATAAACTCTGTTCAACCTAATGTCCTTGTTCGACATTCAAGGTCACGGGCGTCAAATGTTTAAATCTTTTAATAGGTTCTTATGAATCAAACACTGATATTCTGCCTGTAGTGTGATATTAATACCAGGTGAGCGATTCAGGCCCATTGAGCCTCTTGTTTAGATATAAAATGCAGAGCTATTGTTTTTAATTAGAAAATATTAATCAATGATATATTGACTCGCTCCGTTTGGTATGCGGCCAGTGCCCTTATTCAATACTTCAGGGAACGGGTAAAACATGACTGGTTTGTTAAACTCACACAGCGTGGGCAGTTCGTGGAAATCACCCTAAAATAACTATTCGGGTAATCTAGAAAGGCATGCACCGACATATCTGTGTAATTCCATTGTGCACCTATGTAATAAACTGGACCTGACAAATCTTCGGTATGTCTCATCGTATAACTATTATCATATAATTATGTGTGCACAGTGAAGCGTTATACTTAGATTATATAAACTTCTCCAATTCACAAAAAAAAACATGCGTTGATTTCAGTTTAGATATAGCTAAAAATAGCACCAGGACATGCATTCCCCGAATATAGGATATCATGATACATGCTTTATTACAGAGTATTTCCGGGAACTCGCAAGATAGAGTACACACCGGCGTCACCATATCGACTCATTCAAAGTCTGTGCGCGGACCAAACAGTCCAGTCTGCCACCAAGACCGAGATTTTTGTTCGTTCTTTTGGGGTCTCAAGCCGGCATATCACTGTATTTATATGGAATGCCCCTTGAAACTCTATATCTAACGAACGAACTAACAGCTTTAGCAGAGACAGATATCATCTGAAGGATTTAACAGGTGCTTTTATTTTGACGTGTACACTACTCTGTTGTTTTTCAGTTTTTAGTTTGACCACGGACTTAGCTAACTAATTCCGTGATTTGGCTGGACGTTTGACACCATGCTTTATGTAACATGGCAACTTGTAAAACGTTGATCTACTAATATGACTGATTTTATTCTGTCTTGACCTCGGGTATGATGTTTGCTATTGTTGATGATGTAGTCAGTGCTTCATTCAAGTTGGGCTGGGCGTTTAGTCAGGTTTAAACAAGACACACAATGTTGATTACAGGCCGATACCGTCATGCAGTTTTTATCTTTGTTTTCTACACTTCCTGTTCATGTACATACATGTTTTTTTCACTTGTTTGAAGAATTCGATGATAATCTAATACAATTATATATTCTGTAATGGTGCTTTGTGTTTAAAAATACGTAAGGATTCAGGAATGTTACAGGGACAATTTATCATAATAGTACTTTGTATAAGACGCTGTTTTTGCTGTAAACGTAAAATCTATATTTTTATTTCATGTCTATAACATGTCACATGGATATATGACAAAATTACGTGATTCAAACCATCGTGGGTCAGTAAAAACAATATAGAACTAGTAGACCCCTACGTCAGATAGTTTGCAGCCACTTTGAAATACAACCGAAAGCATGTGTTTATACGCGGAAATCTGTGTGCGTGGTGACGTAACTTTTGAGCTTACAACCAATGGAGATGTGATATTGAAGCCGACGATATCAATTATAATGTACTATTTCGTAACGAAAAGGAAAGTGAAAGTATCGCACACTGTTGTAGGTAGTGTCATGGTTTTTGCCTTTTTATTAGTAGTCTAAATGGTCCAGACCTATAAAATGCTTACATATGGTCGATAATGTTGTAGACATAATAACTACAATATCGATGTGATCATGGTGCAATAATGGTATAGGTCTATATAGTCTATTACTGATGTGACCATGGTTTGATAATGGTATAGGTCTATATAGTCTATTACTGATGTGACCATTGTACAGTAATGATAAAGGTCTATATAGTCTTTTACTGATGTGACCATTGTAAAATAATGGTATAGGTCTATATAGTCTATTACTGATGTGACCATGGTTTGATAATGGTATAGGTCTATACAGTGTATTACTGATGTGACCATGGTACAATAATGGTATAGGTCTATACAGTGTATTACTTATGTGACCATTGTACAATAATGGTATAGGTCTATACAGGCTATTACTGATGTGACCATGGTTTGATAATGGTAAAGGTCTATACAGTATATTACTGATGTGACCATGGTTTGATTATGGTAAAGGTCTATACAGTCTATTACTGATGTGACCATGGTACAATAATGGTATAGGTCTATACAGGCTATTACTGATGTGACCATGGTTTGATAATGGTATAGGTCTATACAGGCTGTTACTGATTTGACCATGGTTTGATTATGGTAAAGGTCTATACAGTCTATTTCTGATGTGACCATGGGTGATAATTGTCTAGGTCTATAGTCTATTACTGATGTGACAATTATTTGATAAAGGTTGAGGTTTATAAAGTATTATACTAAAATTACGATGGTCATTAACGATTATTAATACAGGCCTATTTGAATATAAAACTGATGTGCACCATTTGATTACAAAAAGTACCGATACGACTTGTCGTTATTTAATCTTTCCTTAGTTTCAGTTCGGAAATGGACGCAAGTACTGTTAAGTATAACGTATCCGTGTTGGGACAGACTAGTCACATCTATAACTTTCCGGTTATTGTAGTTTGTTATTTCCGTCCTTAAGGTATAGAACAAAACGTGTTCGCCGAACTGTAGTTTCCTTCTTCCCCGAAGGATTTATGTTTGATTTGAGAGACTAATTACAGTGCATGATGTGTAACGTTTGGGTGTGCACCATCGAGCCACTGACCACACTCGACGTTGATGAGCTGGTCAGCGAGTCACACGGGTCATTGTTCAAAGTATTTTATTTTCGTGTCAAACACATAATATTCATAAAATCACACTACATATCAATATTGTATACATGTGTCCAGCCAAAATGACCTATTAGACACGTTAAGAGATCAATCACACTGCTCTTTCAAATAGTTAAATAATGCCTTAGGGTCCACGGAACTGAAAAGAGTGGGGTCCTCCCTGTTACTGATTTACCTTCCCTAACCACCGGTATCTGGCCTTACAAGGAACCACATGGACACTACGCTGCCACTAAATGTAACGTTGCGGATGGGCATCCGACAACGCTCGGCGTTGCTTAACTATTGAGAGCCTAATATACGGTATCGGTATTTCCCGCTCTTACACCTTGGCTCTTACAGTTGCAACATTTTTAATATCATAGCGTTTCAATCAACGTTCTAGTGCTATATTAGTACATATAACTTCAAATAATTAAAACAAAAACCTTAAATGGGGCAATTAAGTGCCCTGAAATTCGGGGCAAAGAACCACAAGAGTTAGGTCCAAATCCACTGGCAACTTTTATTGACGTCATTTGAATGTCTTTCACTGATGATAATAAATCATCCAGCCCGAGCAAGCCTTGGAAGGGGGTCAGTCCCTCTGGTGTATAAATTAAAATTTTGCATTGTACAATATTTGGCCTTAATCCCCCTTAGGGTACAGAGAAGACTACGCCGTTTGAAGGTATTTCACTTGGACTCATTATGGCCCGCCTTTTGGCACCCTTGCGGTCAACCTCTTCTTGAGTAAAGATTCTGGTCATTATCATCTTCGGACCATTTTAAGAAATGTTTTTCTAAATCTACCAGCAAGTATCAGAGATGTGTGCATTTGAAGGATTTGTACTGCTTAGCCCTTATGGCCTCGTTCCTGATACTCGGATGGAATATTGACGAATATCCACCAGTACATTTCAGGGATATTGTATAAAGGAGCTCTGCCCTCAGCCCCTTTGGGGTTGGGTAAATCCCTTCTTGAGTATAAATTCCGATGTCATTAGAAGGTTCTGTACTGTGATCCCTGAACGTCCTGACCCTGTACCGCTGGGGTATGGGGTCAGTTAGTTTCATCAGAATCTGGTCGACGATTTCTTGGAAGAAGTCGAAAATAGAATATCTACTATTGTTCCCGAGAAGTCGAAAATACTGCTTATGCACAAGGCCGGACCAAAATCAATCAAAATAGGTCACTTTCAGGAGACTCGTGGGATTATATTAAAAGGATATCTTCCTCCTAAATCATATACCATTTGAAGTTTATTTATTTTTTGTTATTATTGTGTATGCCAACCACACACGAGAGGCTTCACAAATCATAACGTAAACGCTGGCTGTTGAATCTTCTTGCCTGTGGGTGACGTCGACGTCGGACTTAGAAAGCTTTCCACCCTTTTCGAATATACCCTCATTTGGTTATATTATCGAGTGTTGATATTCCCTATACACCAATTAAGGTCCAAACATACACCCTGCCACTGTACTGGAGCAGAATTGTTCAGGTCAGATTTAAGGGGGACGGGCCAATCGATTCAAACACCAATTGATTCAAGCACTGTGTCGGCGTCAGTAAAATGTGTTTGTGTTTAACGTCCTATTTACAGCTATGGTCATGCAAGGACGTGCCAGGTTTTGGTGGAGAGAAAAGACGGAGTTTCTGAAGAAAACCGACTGACCTGCTACCAGTACCTGGTGAATCTCCCATGTAGGCCTACGATCGCAGACGATGAGACGTCTTAATCACTCGGTCCGGTGACAGTAAAAGGGAAACGGATCAGAAAAATCAAAGATCGGAAATCGAAATAATTATTATTTTAATGTCTTCATTGTACAAACAGTAAAATAACATGTCATCCATTTCTGGAAAATTTAATTTTTGGGCATAATATTAAAAAACGAAGAAATTGAGAAGACGTATACACAATAAAATATATAATATATATACAATTTTTTTACAAACAAGAAAATGCCCAAACACTCTGTTAAAAAGAAGTGACATGTCAGACGAGTACATTACACTTCTGTCCTCACACACTCACTATCAATGTATATATACAGGTATATAAATATCTCACTATCAGCCTCTACACACATACATCTAGTCCTCACAAGTGGTCAACATTAGTCATTTATTCATTATATAGGTGGCTATACTAGCACTGCCAGATTCTACAATACTTCCAGCTAGACTCGGTTATCTGTCCAGCTGCAATCACGACATGTTTGAAAAGCTACTATTTCAGAGTTGTCTGTCCCAATAATGTTCCTGAAATAGAACAAAACTATCCATGCAAGGTGATGTCAGAACTTTTAATAAGTTAGTTTTTTGTACTAGTCTTTAAAGCATGGATAATATAGGAAACAAGGTTCAATGCTTTTTTGTCAATCATGTTTAGTTGTCAATCATGTTTAGTTGTCCATCATGTTTAGGAAACAATTTTCAGTTCTAGTCTGTCACCCATGTACAAGTAACAAGGGTCATTATAAGTCTGTCAACCATTACAAGTACCAGGGTCATTACAAGTCTGTCAACCATTACAAGTAACAAGGTTTGTACAAGTCTGTCACCCATGTACAAGTAACAGGGTCATTACAAGTCTGTCAACCATTACAAGTACCAGGGTCATTACAAGTCTTGTCAACCATTACAAGTAACAAGGTAAGTAAAAGTCTGTCACCCATGTACAAGTAACACGGTAAGTACAAGTCTGTCACCCATGCACAAGTAACACGGTAAGGACAAGTCTGTCACCCACGTACAAGTAACACGGTAAGGACAAGTCTGTCACCCATGTACAAGTAACACGGTAAGGACAAGTCGGTCACCCATGTACAAATAACACGGTAAGGACAAGTCTGTCACCCATGCACAAGTAACACCGTAAAGACAAGTCTGTCACCCACGTACAAGTAACACGGTAAGGACAAGTCTGTCACCCATGTACAAGTCTGTCAACCATTACAAGTAACACGGTAAGTACAAGTCTGTCACCCATGTACAAGTAACACGGTAAGTACAAGTCTGTCACCCATGTACAAGTCTGTCAACCATTACAAGTAACACGGTAAGGACAAGTCTGTCACCCATGTACAAGTAACACGGTAAGTACAAGTCTGTCAACCATGTACAAGTCTGTCAACCATTACCAGTAACAAGTTTAGTACAAGTCTGTCACCCATGTACAGGCTACAAGGTTAGTACAAGTCTGTCACTCATGTACAAGTAACAAGGTCTAGTACTATATGTCACACAAGTACAGGGAGATAACCTTCTCAAACCAGTAAGTAAAGTAAAACAAGCAAGTGTAAATACATTACAAGCTAGAATATTATTTTGTGAATTTGTATCACACCTCTTTCCTGTAGAAGGCAATCAGTTGTGTCTATAATTCAGTAGACTCCAAGAAGACACTTTTTTGTAACATTTACTATGCCCGATACAAATGTCTTGGTACTATTGACATTCTCTAATATCATAATTAAAAGCTGAGGTAAAATGTGGCAACTCCTGAGGTTTGATCGTGTCACTCTAGCAAGAACAGGTGTTCAATGTACAACATCATTTTTTACTTTTCAACTGTCACTTACTGCAACAAAAGTTAATTTGAGTCATGCTGCCATACAAACAAGTTTGCTGTATAGTTCTCGCAAGATGATTTGCTGAATTAAAATTATGTGTCTAACTGGCAGTGCTGGAATTAGTAAAATTACTTGGAATAGTTACTTGTGATAAGGCTTGGGAAGTGTGCTTTGTAGAGTAAACCTGAAAGAGGAAGAAATGCCAGTAAACTGTACTTTTGCATTTGAGACTAAAAAAAATAATTAAATGTGGAATATTTGTGAAAGATTGATTCCATGATCAACAGTGAGAATTTGTGTCCTGTCTGCTTATAACAATGGTATCGGTTCCAATATTTGTCTCGAGTTGTTCTTAATACGGACACCAAAGATGCATAGTATTAGTCCTTTTTAGATAGAAGGTGAATGGTGTTAGGTTCACTGAAAGGTCCCACTCTTGTGTGGACATCTACTGCTCTCACAGCAAAGTGATAGCGATTGCCCTCCTGGAACTGGGTTAGGGTGCATGCCATGGGAAGAGGCAATGCTTTCACGTCTCCCACCTATATAAAGGATAAAAGTCAATATCAACAATGGCTTCAATTGGTATATTATTATTAAGAGTACAGAAACTGGTCTAGATAATCTGTAATTGTTATCGGGTATTTAAATTTCCACAACAAAAATAACACAACTGGTCCTGAAGTTCCCAACAATATATTTCATTGGCTCAGGAACTGTGCCTTCCCTAGCAGCTAAATACTTGGTTCATTTCATGGAAGATTGCATTTTGCACATACTGAGCTGTAAAGCTGCAACAGTTATCAAACGCACCTTTTTCCATAGTGCTGTGGTGGGATGTGTGCTACCTTCCTGGTAGGCAAACAACTGGTAAGAGGCTACATCAGCATGTGGGGTCTGGTTCAGGGTCATGTTCCATGACAATACAATGCCTACAACAAACAATGTATAATATTTTATGTTCATGTTTAGTAGTTTAGTATTTACCCTAAAATGACTGACACTGTGTTTCGTTACTGAAGGTAATGTGGGTTTTACTTATCCTGAATGACACCCTGTATCTGGAGTGTTTTTTTGGTGGGTTTTGCCTCCCTTGAGCGACATTCTTTAGTGGGTTTAATGCTCTTGACCGACACCTTGTATCTCAAACACTGGATTAATGGGTTTTACCTACCTTGACTGACACCCTGTATCTAAAGTGCTGGTTTAGTCAGTTTAATTCCCTTGACTGACACCCTGTATCTCATACACTGGATTAATGGGTTTTATCAACATCGACCGACACCCTGTATCTCAAACACTGTTTTGATGGGTTTTATTTACCTTGACTGACACCCTGTATCTCAAACACTGGTTTAATGGGTTTTATCTACCTTGACTGACACCCTGTATCTAAAGTGCTGGTTTAGTGGGTTTTACTTTCCTTGACTGACACCCTGTATATATATCAAACACTGGTTTAGTGGGTTTTACCTTCCTTGACCGACACCCTGTATCTCAAACACTGGTTTAATGGGTTTTAACTACCTTGACTGACACCCTGTATCTCAAACACTGGTTTAGTGGGTTTTATCTACCTTGACTGACACTCTGTATCTCAAGTGCTAATTTAATCGGTTCTATCTACCTTGACCGACGCCCTGTATCTCAAATGCATGTTTAGAGGGTATACCTCCCTTGACAGACACTTTGTATTTTGAGTGCAGGTTTGGTGCGTTTTACCTTGCTTGACCGACACTCGGACTGTATATATCTTGAGGACTGTTTAGTGGGATTTACCTACCTCGACTGACTCTGGAGATCTTTAGTGTGGGTTTTATTTACCTTGACTGACCCTGGAGATCTTTAGTGTGTGTTTTTAACCTACCTTGACTGACCCTGGAGATCTTTAGGGTGGGTTTTACCTACCTTTATTGATTCTTGAGATCTTATTATGGGTTTTACCTACCTTGACTGACACCCTGTATCTCAATTGCTAATTTAATGGGTTTCATCTACCTTGACTGATACCCTGGATCTCAAGTGCTGGTTTAGTGGGTTTTATCTACCTTGACTGACGCCCTGTATCTCAAATGCTTGTTTAGTGGGTTTTATCTACCTTGACTGACACCCTGCATCTCAAACACTGGTTTAATGGGTTTTGACTACCTTGACCGACAACCTGTATCTCAATTGCTAATTTAATGGGTTTCATCTACCTTGACTGATACCCTGGATCTCAAGTGCTGGTTTAGTGGGTTTTATCTACCTTGACCGACACCCTGTATCTCAAATGCTTGTTTAATAGGTTTTATCTACCTTGACTGACACCCTGTATCTCAAACACTGGTTTAGTGGGTTTTATCTACCTTGACCGCCGCCCTGTATCTCAAATGCTTGTTTAGAGGGTTTACCTCCCTTGACAGACACTTTGTTCTTTGAGTGCAGGTTTAGTGTGTTTTACCTTGCTTGACTGACTCTGGAGATGTTAAGTGTGGGAGATCTTCAGTGTGGGTTTTACCTACCTTGACAGACCCTGGAGATCTTTAGGGTGGGTTTTACCTACCTTGATTGACCCTGGAGATCTTATTGTGGGTTTTACCTACCTTGACTGACCCTGGAGATCTTCAGGGTGGGTTTTACCTACCTTGACAGACCCTTGAGATCTTTAGTGTGGGTTTTACCTACCTTGACTGACCCTGGAGATCTTTAGTGTGGGTTTTACCTACCTTGACTGACCCTGGAGATCTTTAGTGTGGGTTTTGGTGGTAATGGCTTCTGTCCAGGCTTGACTTGATCAGAAGAGGCTACAGGAAGAGGAGCAGGGTGGTGAGGTTCTGGAGCTTTCTAAAATGGGAAAAAAATATGACATTTTATTTACAAGTTTGATATTCTTTAAATATCAAATCATCTTATGTAGCATCAATTTAATCATTGATTTCTAATATATTTTATATACGCTTCAATGTGCAACCAGTTTCATTTCTATTCATTTTAATTTGAAATTAACCACACAATCACTGCCTACATGTTGTCCATGGTACCTGTAGCTCTCTTTCTTACACTTACCGGCGGGGGTGCTGAGTTGATCGGTTGAGCAACTTGTAGAGGTGGTGGAGGAGCCACCTGTAGTGGTGGTGGAGGACGGGTCATAATCTTGACATTGGAGGGTGCCACAGTCTTCGACAGGTTGGCCCGTTGTACTGGTGGCTGTATTGCAGCTGCTGCACGGAGCTGAGGAGGCTGGCCTGAAGTTGTGGTCATGATTGGCCTAATGATCTGGTTATTTCCACCAGGACCCTGCATGACAGTGAGCAGACTTCCTGGGCGTATTGCAGGTGATGATGAGTTGAACACTAACTGGAACGTTTGTTGAGGGTTGCGCATTATTTGTGTGCCAGCTGGAGTGCTGAGTAGGATTCCTGAGTTACTGGCTACTCCATGTGCTTGACTGGGGATTGTCGGGCGGAGAATCTGTTGTGGTAGGAGTCCCCCGGGCTGGACGGTGGTTACTGGGATGCCCTGAGGCACACCTGTGACCAGGTTGGTGGAGGCAGCTGGAGTTGTGTATCGTTTCATGCCTGTATCCTCTTCTCCTGTCAGGTCCACTACATCGCCAGGCCGACTTTGGCCTGGAGTAGAAATGGTCAGGGTGTTGCTTGGCTTGGCTAGTAGAGGGGGGCGTGCCATATTGGGCTGGCTGGTGGTCACCAGAACAGGTATGAGACCAGAAACTGGAGGATTGGCCCCCATTAGCTTGGTCGCTGGCATCACCATCCGTTTGTTTTCAAGAAGGTTTTTCACTGATCGGTCCATAGGCGACTGCATCACTGTCTTTGGAAGGGCATTGTTTACCATACCAGGAGTTGTTGCAAGGCTCTGGATGAGGCAGGGAGATCCTGGAGTCGCCAAACTCTGGGACATCTGCATAAAAAGATATGAAAATGTGCAACCACATCATAGGAAAGTGTAAAAAAGATGTATATGAAGATACCATATCAGAATCCAAATATTTCCTCTTTTAAAATTTATGCTGAAATAATAACACATAAGCTATTCATACAGAAAAATGGAGATTACTTGTAATATGAACTTTGGTGAAATCACCAAATCTTTTTTTTCCTACTGTATGTCCACAGACTAAGTACCTGCTCTGTACATACAAAAACTAATATTTGAAAGGAAGTTTGGGACAGTTACCTTAGTGACAGTCATTGGTGTAAGCTTTGGAGGCACAGTGTTGGTAGAGAGTAGGACACTGGTATTGGGTGGAGCCAGGATGGGCATGGTTACTCCAGCCGTTGAATTTTTCACAAGGATAGGCTGGAATGCTCCAACAGCATTAGTCTTTGTTTGAGTCTTGGACATTGCCTGGCTACCCTTGGTGGGTGTGGTCTGTTGGCTCAGGTGGTTCATTTGGTTCGTCTATAAATGCAGCAATACAATAGTTCTTACTAGAGACATCCTGAACATCGCAAAGAGATTCTGTTTTAAGATTTATTTTACATACATAAGGAGCTTTAATAGTAATGGTCAAATGAGAATAGTGTCCAAAAATGAAATGCTGTTTATTTGCATTTGATCAATATTTTACATACAGTAAAACCCCACTTCCTTGAACTCTGTTTACTCGAATACCCCTCATTCTTCGACTAGTTCGTTTAACACGACCAATTCGTACATATTCTTTGTAAAGTAACCCCGGATTAGTTGAACCTTTAATTCTCGAATACCCTGTATTCCTCCAACAAAAATTTGTCCCCAACTCTTCATGGTCATAGTAATACTATCTATTCGTCGAACAGGTGTGACTTGTCACGCCCGACAGATATTTTATCTGTGTATCACAGGTACCGGCACTGCAGTCGATATGTCTCAAGGCACAGGCTGTGGTTTACGTTAATTGTGCTTAAACAAGTGTCGGCTGGACGTCAGATAAATAAAGGATTAACGGCCGGCAGTATCATTAAGTAACTGTACCCTTACCCTGTTACATAGCTACATTATCATTTGAGTACATATTTGTTTTTTCCAGACAATAATTTGGGGGAAGTGTTAATTAATTGGGTGTGCAAAACCATATTTCGGCATGGCAATATTAATCGGTAATCACATTGCGGAATCCGATCGAATTTAAAGATATTCAAACTTAAATACATCCGAATTGTTAGTTTCATTCAACAATATGATTGCAAGGATTTGAGATTTTCTTCGTTTTAAAATGATCGCAGAGTTCCTCTTGTTTTGATATTTTTGTCAAATTAACGTAGCCGATTATAGTATGGTGGACTATGTCAAAATGACAAGTATGTTACACATGCAGCTTTTGATTTTATTTACTTTCTTAATACTGGTGGCTATATGTTTTCATTGTTTAGCTATTTTAAATCTGATTAAATGTTGTCATCTTGACTAAACTTCTTTTTTCTTCAATGATCTTCTATTCGCAATATTTGCAGTGCTCGTACTGTCCGTTTCCCACCTGATAAAAAATGACCGTCGATTGAACCTTGGATTCGTCGAATACCATGTATTCCTTGAACTATTGATCTGGACCCTACGAGTTCGAGTAAACAGGGTTTTACTGTATTTATTTCATGAGAATTATTAGTGAAGGAGCTTTATCAACATAAAAGTTAACATCAACTTAAATTAGAATAAAAAAAGACCAAATTTTAGGGGAGTTTACAAGCAACAAAAGGTCCAGAGGGCCTGCAATGTTCATCAAGATATTAATCATGTGTTTTAAGCAAAGTATATTTGTTTTCAGTTATGACAACCTTAACCAATGAGCTATTTCTGTGACTTTCAAAACCTTGCTCAAGTTTTTTTCTTTCTGACAAAATATTTCCTGTTATAATCCCAATAGTGAAATTTCTTTCATATATGATTTTGAACTTCTAACTTTAAGCAAGCTTTTAATTTCACTTCTATGACCTTGAAAGTAGGCCAAGGACATTTATAGAAGAAACTTTGCACTTCATTCAAGATATCCACTGGCCAAATATTGTAACCTTTAACCCAACAGCACTCTGATTTTTTTTAATGTATTTTTTTTTTACAAATTATAACTCATGTTGATATTTGACCTCAGCCAGCACTTGAAGCTGACCTTTACCTAAATATTAATACTAGAAATGATTCCTATAATTTGCAATATAAACGAACCCTTATAATAAGTGATGCTCAATATGAAATAGCGAAGCCCACAGAACACTTTAGAAACTGTCAGGCACAGGATGAGACTCAGATGAGATAAAGTATTAGTTTTAGCTAAATAATAATCTTAACTTACCTTGTTTTCATCAACTTGGACACCGACATTCTTTGTACTTAATTCCTGAAAAAGAATAGTAGTGTTTAAAGGTTTGTGTGTAGTAAAGGGAAATAACTGAAAATAGATATGCTATTATCTCCCTTTATGAACAGGCTTTAAAGATATTTTTCTGTCAAGCATGATAAACAACTATTTCCTCACAACCTTGTCAAAGCTGAAGCATTAGTATTTTTACTTCCATGGTTGACCTGCTTACCCTGAGAGCTACAGTCTTGGCCTTTCTCTTTTCATGTTTTTGCTGTAGAATGGTGACATTCAGGACTTGGCGTTCCAGCTCACGATAGTTAGACTTCCAGAAATCAATAGTCTGTGTTAGCTCCTCAACTTTATCCTGCATTTCCTTATATTTCTTTTCTCTCTCTACTTTCATGTACATCTTCACCTTTGTGCGTACAATCTGTTCCAACTCCTGAAATATCAAAGTGTGTGTCATTATCGCACTCTGCAGGATCCAGGTTACGAGATTATTCTAGAAAATATATATTTTCACATATACCTGAAAATGAATCTTTGAACTTAAAAAAGTTTATTCAAAGTCCTTTTAAGGGGAATCATGTCCCAATTAAAAGCCTACTGTACATGCAAAAATGGAAAATCTTGCACACTAGTTTGTCTAATATTGACTGTTCAAGTTCATTTATTTTTTATTTATATTTTAAACATTGAACTCTTTGACATTGATGCTGCTCAAGAAATATTTTTACACAATTTACTGTTCTCATTTCCACTGAGGAATATATCTTGACACATGCATGGTCATTGTTTCAGGAATTCAGAAACTGAATTTTGCGACTTACAGATTCTGTCAGTCGTATCCTGTGTTTTTTCACTCCTGGCTTCTTTTTGGGAGAGTCTTGACTATCATCTTCATCCTCTGTGACCGTAGAGGTGGTGTCCTCAGATTTAACAGACTCTGTCACCTCACTCTCGTGCGATTCTTCAATGTCTGACATCTCATCAGGTTCATCTTTCAGAGTATCTGGTTGGATGCCAATTGCAGAACCTAGTTTGCCTATGACCATGTCAAGTCGAGAGCGCTTGGGTTGTGCTGATAAATCAGAAGAGTCTGCTGGCCGTTTACGATCTGCAGATTCAGGAGTCGAAGAACCACTGTCCTCAGATTTTACCTCAGTCTTCACTTGACTTTTAACATCCTCTTGACTGCTCTTTGAGGAGGCACTAGAGTCACTACTTGAGGAACTAGACTGACTAGCATCATCCTCATCTACTTCCATTTTTACCTCGATTTCTTTCACCTCCTTTTTCACATCCTCCTCTTTTACGCCGATGCTATCTTCTTTTTCCTTTGACTCGTCCTTTGATTCATCTTTTTCCTCATTTATTTCATTATTTCCTTTCACATCTGCTTCTTTATCACTATCTCCCACTTTCACATCACTCTCATCACAGTCTTTCCCTTCCTGTTCTGTTTTTTCCCCATTTGCTTCTAACACTAGAATGTCCTCCTCTTTGTTTTCTACTTCCATATTTAGGCTCTCTGCAGACTCTCCCTGTTTCCCATCCCCATTTTTGTCCTCGTTGTTAAGTTTCGATTCCTTGGTTTTGTCATCATCTGAATCTGAAGCTAGAAGCCGTTCCTCCTCCTCCTTGGTATCGGTCTCCTCCACCTTCTTGTCATTGGTCACCTCGTCTTGGTCAATCTTCAGCAGCTCCTCCTCTGCCTTGATCGTGCTACTACTGTCTGATTTTATAGGTGCCTCATTTTCAAATGAATTGTCACTATCAATACAAATTGGAGACCTGGAGGAATCCCTGATTGTTAATTGCACATTGCTAGAATTATCACAGTCTTGTACAGCTTTAGTCTCTTCGGCTAAGTCCGTTTTTATTTCATCTTTCTGCTCCTCGGACGGTGTTTCCGAGGCTTCTACAACTGGTTTAGATTTTATGTCTTCCTCAAGCTCTGGATCATCCAATAAAATCACATCCTGATCCTTTGAATTACTTATACTAGATATTGGCGGTTTTATACTTGGTGCAGTGGAACAAGCAACAATGTCAACTGAAATATAAAACATGCTTTTAACACTAAAACTAATTAAAGATCTTCCCAAAATAAAATCTTGACTAGAATGCAGAGAAAACATTCAGGCAGCACACCTTAAAATTGGCTTTAATGCAACATGTTTCTAAGTAGGGAAAGTAAAGACATAGCACTATGTTTGTACCAAACTAAAAACAAGTTCAATATTGCAGGATATCCAAACATATCAATATGCCTTGTAAATGAAACACTTAATGCAACCTGTACTGCAACAGTATACCAGTTATTATGACCTTCACCTTTTGGCCTTATTTCCTCAAAAGCAATCACTTGTCTACACTTCGAAGTAACCTACATGTATATATACTATTCAATTTTGCATGTGCTGGTTCGTGAAACAACTGACAAATTGTCATGCTATCTCAACAAAACACAAGTTGACTTTGGAACGTTTTAGATTTTTCAGAGATATGTTTGTTACCGAGACTCACTTAGGACCTTTCTCAAGCCATTATTCACTACCATAACCTCAGTATCTGCAACAAGCAGGTACATGAAAAATTAGCCCTTTCATCATAAAGGACCTTTTCTGAAACTTTTTGGCAAGTTCAAATCTATCTACCACCAATACTAGTGGATATGCCACTTTTAGAATCTCAGAACTCAGTATTATTTGCAAGGGATGATAGATAGAGAAAAGAGTGAAAAGTCAAAACAGCAAAATGTCTTGGTTTTGTTTGATTCAGTGTGGTAATTTTTCCATATTACACAATTTTCAATATTATCTAATCTTCATGGTCTTGTTCCCAATGACTTATTCAAAGAGAATTGAATTCACAAAATGAAAAATATATTTACTTGATATATATTCATGTGCCTTGATTTTTTGAGATATTTGCATTTATAACTCTCTTCAGGAATTGACGAGAAACTATGAATCTTGTGAAACAAAACTAATTCACACGTTGGAATCGAAAGATTATCATTGGGGGTCCGTCTCACAACCCACATTCAACACCTGGATCACTCTGTGTTAGTGATCACAAACACTTACCACTTTTTGTTATAGGTTTTTCTCTAAGGTCGGTATCACAGTTTAATCCTTTCAAGTTCTCAAATACATTATCACCACTTCCCTTGCCCATCGTAGATATGGCCTTGGCAGCCTGTTGCTCACGCTCAAGTCTTTCCCTCTCCTCTTTCCTTTCACGTGTGTCTAAATCTTTGGTTTTAGCTAGAAGATTTTGTAAGCTTGGAGTATTTTCCTGAATTTTTGACATAATATCTTTGAACGAGCTTCTTACTCTCTCATTAATTTCAAATTTATTAGCTTTAGGGTGTTCATATACACTATTGGTTGCTGGCCTAACACCCTCAGTCATAGAAATTGGGGGCTTTGGCAGCAATGATGCGGGGAGGAGGCTGGGTGAGGAGGATGTGCCAGATACAGCCGCTTTAGGGTTTGCATCCGATGATGGACTGTGGTCTAGTATGACAATGTCTTCTTCTTTACTTGTGACTTTCTTGTCCTCAGTACCAAACTTTGTCTGCCCGTTGAGAGCCTTGAGGCTGAGGAGTGTCTGTGTAAAGTTGAGACTGATGTCCTTGCTGACACCGTTAGTTCCACCATTACAATCTTTGGGGTGTCCAGATGTACTGGATGGGGTCGAGGAATCCATTTCCTCAGACACTGGCATGGTGCTAGTCACACAGTTTGTACTCTTTCCTGCAATAAAAATGTATATGCATTTTAATGAGGTGCAGCACAGAAACTAGCTGTAAAAGTTCTAATAGACTAATACTCATCAAAAATTATTCGCTACTCAGTATTTTAACTATGCCATCAATATATATGCATATATGTAAATCTCTGACCAATATACAATTCATTTTTCCATAACCTAAAAATTGACCCTAGAATATGACAGAAAGTGTTCAAACCATAATCCTCACCAATAAACTAGCCAGTGCACAGTATCACCTAAATGTAAGGGAAGAAAATATATAACTAATTGCCAATTATTCTCTATGACTGGATCTGTCTGAGATTTATAGAGAAAAGTATGCTTTGACAAAAAACACAAGGTTGTCAAATCTTTGGAAACAATACAACTTGAGAAGGGCCACTAATCGTGTTTTAATACGACATAACATCTAACCCAGCTCAGATCATCGCTTTAAAATGTGAAAATTCAGCAACTTTAACACTTTATCAACAGAAAAGATAAAAAAAAAAAAAAAAAAAAAAAAACCCCCCCCCCCTTGCCGCCATTTTAGAATACACAACTTAACCCCTTAAATGGTATCTGTGTGGTGACATATTCTAAACGAGAAAGTCAGACTTTTACCTCCTCAATCTACTCTCATTGAATGTAATCAGTCCCAAACAGACACAGACACACTAAATTTACCAATAGCAGTACTTCTTTATCCACAAACGACCAAACAGTAACACGTCTCCGACCACCATTTAGTCTCAACGTGTACGTAGCACTTCAAGATAAAACGCCATTTCAAAAAGATATTTAACCATCGACAAATTCCTAGTAATATACAGAAATCGTTTTCCTCCCGACCAGTCGTTTAGTTTGTTGGAAGCTACGCACGTGAAAATCAACACATCGTCGAATGCACGGTTCGTGATCTTCCCGAGCAGATCCTTTGTTCGCGCGGTCGGTATGTATTGATTGCCGTAGTGTACCAGTACCAGACAACTAGTTATGCGGAAACTAAGTCAACCGTAAATCTATGTCTACCGCGAGAGGAGTGCGTGACTGAGGACAACAGCCTGTAGCAATGGTTAGTTGTAACCACGGACTTCGATATCTAATCTAATTCCGTGGTTGTAACAGTTACACCATCACAACATTTACGAGTACAGAATTCTTTGTCGACAGATGTAACTTAAAGGAAAACCTGGCGTCTCTGAAATGCTGTATTCGACGCAATTCGAAAGAATAGCGCAAGGCCAACGACAATTTAATCGCACTGACCCATTTTAACGACGGAAGTCTGCTAACAACATACAATTTGGTTAGCTTACACATATGCACAACGTACCGACTGTAGCTACAGCTGTTTTTACAACACGCTTACACTGCCACAACAAATTAATGATACACTATACATGTGCCGTTTGTAAGGCGAGTACCGCGACACACATACATACAGTTTAATCGACAGTGGTAAACCACTGTTTACCGACACATGCCCGACTACGATACGGAGACGGTAAGAAGATTACAAATACCACCCACAGTAGTCACACTACAGTACGGGGTAACGGCACACCGCGAAGACACTTGCCGACAACAGAGCTACAACAGTACACATATCGCCAATGTAACGACGGGCCGTCAGAGTTACGACACATACATGTCGGGATGGTGCCCTACATAATAACGCCAACACTAATTTAACTTGATCGCCACCATATTTTTTCCATGTAAAGACGGTATAGGGTCACCGAACACATACACAATGCTACTGCATTAACACTGCCACTATTTGCATAGACAACGGAGCACCGCAATTGTGTTATACATACCGTTATTATAATGGCACACCACAGTGGACCCAAGAATGGGGTAACGGCACACATGTAGACGGTATACTCACTATATACTACACCGCCCACAAGGGTACCAACGTTAGAACGAGGTTCGGTACATATTAACACTACATAGCTACCGTACCAACAGATTACGACACACCGACATGTACGCAACACCGACATGTACGCAAGGCACCCTTGTAGTCATCCCCGATATCCAGGGTTTACGCTTACTTTCGCTCGAGCGTAACCCCGGGGTATCGAGGATGCCTTATAATGTACCGAAGTGGTTGAGTATTACAGTAACCGTCATCGTAATCACCGTCTGTGGTTGAGGGTTGCAAGACGTACACTGCACGAGTGTGATTGCACGCATATAATATACACTTGTACGTTCCACAATGGATGGGGTATTAAATATGGCACAGTGTACATGACCCTTGTATACAACCCTTCATACGTACCGACAGTGGAAGGATACGGCATTGTCAGGCTACAAACTTCGTTTTCTGTGGCCGACATCTTGCCCACCTCACAATCTACAAAGACAACCATTGCAATTTAAGACTCTGCAACAGAATTAATACGAAGATGCAGCAGGTGACATTCCGTATTCACACTGGGACCCTATCTAACCAATTACACAATGTACGTTTGTACCTGTTTCCAGTGTGTAGAGAGTGACGTAACACATTTTAATGGTTCAGATCAACAATCGCTATATCACTGCGAGTGACATTTCTACTATCGATCACAATCTCAAAAGAGTCGACTTTGGCCGAAATATATGTGGAAAGATTTTGTAACAATGTTCACATTAATTTAAATGGTCTAGTGTCCATGCAGACTTTGTAAAGTTAGATGTAAAAATCCGACAAGATGAATTTGCTATGCGACAACAATGAATTGTCCATCATAACAGAATGAGTTTTAGCCGCTAGGTCGGAACGGCACGGTCAATGTAACATGTAGCAGAGAAACTCTAGTGTTGGTAGTGATGGTGGTGCAGTGACCACACTGCCTTTGTGTAGTGAGAAAAAACTGCAGTCGGGACCAACGGTGTAAAGACTTGGCTATGTCGTATATTGACACTGACGCGCGTCTCCAATCAGTTGGTGACATCAGAGACCTGTCGTGTAAATACGAATCAGAATTGATTAGTCTAATCAATAGGAGTCTAATCAATATGCGTCTTTATAGTATTAAATGTTACAGACGTACTGCCTGACGCATTACCAACATTACTAACCCCATTTCTCGTTAAAGTGCGAGATGATGATGATTTCTATTAAATGTTGTGTCTGTAAAATACACTGATTTCTTTTTTGTAATATGTCAATCATACGTGAGTATATTTATTGTTGTACACTGTCTTCCGAATCCAGCTGTGCGACTTTTGAATCCGCTATCTGTAAAGGCGTCGATAACGAGTATCAAGATTGCGATACGTGTTTTAATCCACAATTCTCAATCATGTTATTGTCATGACATTGTAGTTGACATTAATATCAAGATTAAACATGAAAATAATGACAGTTGTTAACATCTACGATCTTCATATATTGACGAGGCTATAACTACATCAGATACACTGGTACATGTACTTGTTATACATCTAAGAAAACATTTAATATAACCGACTGGGAGGACAGTAAAAGAAGAACGACATTTTCTCTATTTCAGTTTAAGTACGTACAGTCGGTAATTCGAGTTGTTGTGCACATTCTGACCAACTCGGAGGCATCGTATCCCTTTCCCCCAAAACCATCCACGAGGCAGTCTAGATGTATCGAGCTATATACTCGGGAAAAGTTTTAATAAACCTTTTAACTGTTAAAGAGCTTAACGATTTCTGGTGTAGACGAACAGACAATTTATAAAACAGCCAATATCGGCTTCCTCCGAGGAGAAATTAAATGATAATCTCCAGGCCATTCGACTAGTTAAATGCTATTTTCAATACATATCATAAGGTGTTTTAAGTAATCGCGCGCAAGCTAATGAAATGAAATCGAAAAGCATCGATCGACTGAGCAAATATACGAAACTAAGCACTGATTTGTGCCTGTGTGTACGTGGCAATGCGATGAGTCATATCAACTCGCCAGCGGATTCGTTCCGCCAGCAATTTTCTAGGTCATCTGCACGGTATACTGTACACGTACCAGTGTACTCCCACAGACATGTCCTGTACGACAGACTTAACTGGATTTGTCTGTACCACGGAATTTGGATTTGTCTGTACAACGGAATTAGATTAAGTCCGTGGTCTGTACACACGTCGATAAGAACGTCTCTGCTTTACACAATCTTTCCGACACGATGAGACGTAATAATAACGATCGATAAGATGGCTATTAGTATCTACAATGAAGTTATAATACGATTAACAGTTTGGTTTGGGGTCACAAAATCTAACCTATATCGAGACATTATTCACAGATAGTATCTGTTTTCACTTGGAGCAAACCTTTCAAGATGGCCCATTGTTTTCTAAATATTCTGTGCGAGATTCAACTGAATAGGTTTTTTTAGCACTTTCTCTACGTCACTGGTCAATATTTTGCCACGGACATGGGCTCAAGTGCCACACGCATGCGCACATAACATGCACAGACAAAATGTGTGAAAAGCGCATGCGCCAAAAACCAGTTCGCGCCTAGTTTGTGAAGCCGGCTCAAACCGGTCTTAGCCGGTTACAATTGCCAATGCAGGGATCGTCTCAAAAACGAAATAATAAAAGTTTTTTTTAATCTATTTTCATAAGACATTCTGTTTTCAAAATGACACGTTCATACTAGATATGTTTGAAAAAATCCCAAATAATAATTATCTCAATCCAAGCGACTTTTTCCACATTCATGCAATTATTCATTTAAGCAACATCTGACAAAACTATGACTGACAGTGACGCCATTTACATTATCCGACTTCAATGAAACATTACAATGAACCATACTTTGATCAATGTATGGTCATTGTTACTAATTTTGATCCTTGTTATATACAGTCAAGGAGTTTGGGAATCCAGGCATCACTTCACATGTGTATCAGGAATCAAATGAAAGGTTCTCAGTTCAAATACCGGTCTGGCCAGTTGGACTTATCCAGTTAAACAAAACTAATGTTTTTTATAGTACTAGTGGCGGTGAATTTGTTCCATCACCTTGAATAATGTTTGTAAGAATAACACATGATCATTATTTTTTTACAGCGAATGGATACATTGTGTGATCAAATCTTAGGGTTATGAAAAGAAGCAGCATCTCATCTGCAAATTGACATCAAAAATTTCTCGGATGATCAACTCATTCTCTTTGCCCCAAATATATATAGAGTATCATTTTCAGCAAAGTTACTGTATGAAGTTTGAGTTCAATCAACCCGAAGGAATTCAAGTTATCACATCTAAACCTTGTTTCTGACGACACAACCGACGCCGACAAAGTAATACCTGTATGTGTGCACAATTAATCAATTATAGAGTTCCGCTCAGGCACTATTGTCATATAATGATGCCTTGGAGTATCACTGAAAAGTGCCCTAGTATCATGCAAAGGCACTATTTCTTCCATAGACAACATGGTCACAGTGACCTCACAAAAGGCAATAGATAAATAGGTTAATGTAAATGTATCTGAAACTACTAACAAACATGAGCATATAAATTGGTCATGTTGAAAAATATAATCAATTTTCTATTTCTAGTAAAAGTGCAGATCCCTTAAATAAAGGTATTCTTTCACAATTTTCAGTTGTATTTGTGACACATTTGATTTTACAAGTCCGTTTCCACTATACTTATTGAAAATAATGGCTTTTACCAAATTAAATTTTAGTGCCTAAAAATTCTTTTGAGACCAATCAAATATCTATTCTTGCTTGCATGTGATAATATTGTAATTGTGACAATTTTGATTTTTTGAACTTTGAATCTGGTAATGACACCAATAATGATTGTATACAACTGTATTGTAATGCCCAATCCTTAACATCAGAATTTCCAACTTATCATAGAACATATCAACTAAAGAAAATGACATTTTGAAATTCCATATACATGTACAACATAAATATATATATATATTTACAAAATAGAAGACAACAAGATAACAATAGATACAGACAGGCTTACAATTGAATTGTAAACAGGACAGATAAACATTAAAAACAAGGACGACTCCCACATTTTCTCACTGAAAACAAACAAAAATGATCATCATAATATTATTTCATCAAAAATATAGATATTTTTTAAAAGTAAGAAAACATACATCCATATTGTTTCATTAAATATTATCAGAATATCTGGACCCATGGGCTCTGGTTTTTCAGGCTTATATTGCAACCAAAAAGCACAGCTGATGGCTGTCAGCTAGTGAGTCTAATGACTAAATAATTTAATTAATTAATTTATGGATTTTGAGCAGTGTTACCACGGAATTTGATATCTAAGTCTGTGGTGTTACTCACTGAATTATATGAATATTTGCGATATAGTATTTAAAAAAAATGAATATCTCGAATCGAGTCACACAGAGAAAGGGACACATCTGAACCCCAAAGCCACACTATTTTCTATATTATCCATTTGTATTCTTTATTTTTCTCCCTTCATGAACAGAAAAAAACCATGTAAAGCTGGTCTCAAGATAGTCCACAGATGAACAAGGGGAGATAAGTATGAACAACGTATGGCAATATATTGGCGCATGATTTGTTTTAAACATATTATAGAAATTGAAAGAAATTTATTAATCAAAAGTGGTAGACAATGGTTACAGAATTGTACGTGATAAATCATTTGACGTAAAAATTCACCTCAATCAATAATATATCCTAGTCAAGGTTGTCCGACGGGATTGAAAACAATCGATAAATGCTCTTTTGATTTGCAATCTTTAAAATAACTATTTTGTTGTTTTTGTTATTTTGGTCGAAAATCATTTAAAAATGTGAGTTTTTCCAGTAATTACCACTGATTCGACTTTGTATAATATGATTTTTGTTTCTATCGAAATACACAATGAATTACCCCTCGATAACCTCGCACACAGAAATAAAGTCACGTGGTACTGTAAAAGGGGTCGGTTCAAAATGTGCTTTCTCTCGACAACAAACAAAGATGGAGGTGGGAGACGCTATCGCTGAATTTTTGTGCAACAAAACATACGCTATTGATGAACATGTCAGGGTCCCGTGGAGGTTAACATGACCAGTGCATGCTTGAATAATTGTGGTTCATGCATACGGTACGTAACGGACAGACGTGTTGTCTGTCAAACGTCACTGAGCATACCGACGTCGATGGGATCGTAATATACAACACTGTCTGAATAGCATACGGAACGTGACCTTTGTGTATTGGTAGTCGTATTCTATAACGGTGCAACACGCATAATTCGTATGCAATTTATACTTACGATGTATCAAGGATTAGTCTGTTACAGCATTTGCAGTCTCTTGTTGAGGATATTTTCATTTATGAAAATTCAAGATGGCTTCCCGCGCCATGTGTCACTGCGCATGCTTGTAATATAGATGAAAATTAACATAGCTATCTGAACAACCAATCAAATCGAGGTACGTAAGCGCCATCTCTTGGCCTTTTTAATTTGGAACCTTTTTATTCTGACTACCAAGGGAGACAATTTTCATCCCCGTACACCACTTTGCAAATGTATCATTCTAAATTGAGGGGAAAACGTGTTTAACGAGAGGGGGGGGGGTCTAGCCTAGCTATTTTATGTATTTGTTTCATAGCAAAAATAAATCTTTGAAATTTATCGATGTATGAGTAAGTTAATGGAATTTTGGAGCTGTAGTTACCAGGGTTTACCATGATGATTTTTTTTAAAGATTTGAAAAAAGATCTTTATTAGATTGAAATATTAGTTTTTGTGAAATTTAGAGAAACAACAAAACTGTTTAAAATTATTATTATGCTACCCATATTCTTTGAATTCAATGTCTTCACATAATGTTCATAGCTTCAAAACTAAACATAGCTTATCGACCATACATTCTTGTGAATACTGGTCAATGGGTGATAGTCCATGAGAAATTACAGGCATCACAAAATAAATGATTGCAAATTTTAACGTGTTGTATTATTATTCTGTTTTGGTGTGGTGGTTTACTTTGTCCTTTGTCTACGTTTCAACACCATGTTATATACAGTAAGGTATAGAAATAATATGGGCGTTACATAAGCTCGCACATGTGTGTAAATGATGACGTCACTCAAATCATGTACACACATGTGTATACCAAATCGTTCGTGTGTGGAATATCCCCACGCCAGCCAGGCAACACGTAGATATATTATGCAGAGTGGCCAAAAACAGTCAAACGCGTTTTCAGAACGTTTTGTTGATTTACCACAAAACATTATGTGTTTAGCAAACTAATTAATGAATTAAACATGCTGCATCTGATTCGAATTCCTATGTATATACAAAATTGTTGGTATTTGTGCGAGTACTTGTAGATGCTGATCACAATTAAGTTTTGACTAAAAAACTGTAAACAGAGATGCAATACTAGGTCTCTGCTGTTACAAAGATGGCTTGTGTAGGTGTAGTTGTAAGTTATTCACAGTTGGTCACGTGAATGTCGAATACCCAGTTAGCTATCTTAACTTTGATTGGCTGAACCGTCTCGTAGCTACTGGCCATGGTCAACACGAATGTTTAAGTGGTATGAAAGCTATAATAACATGTTAAATGTCGATTATGCAAGCATACAACATATATGAGGTATCTGTTGGAAATGACTAGTTGATTACAATAAACACTAATGATAATCAGTTTGACAAAATTACTTCCTGCTTGATTTACATGACTTTACTTGTGGCTATCGACCTTCAAAAATGAAGCTAAACTAAGATACTCTTGGTAAAATTAATCTTAAAAGAAAAATCGCATGAACAACCATCATAGTCACAGAAAGGTTTATTGCCTGGCCTCAGTTCCTTTCTGTATAGCAGTCTTTTCTACTCTGATATAGTGCACCACTGCTTTATCTGACAATGTCCGCCATGTTTATTTTCCCGTATGTTCTGCCGGGATGATATGTGACTGACGTACGAAAGCAAGACCGGATCGTCTTCTGCTGTTGATGTTTGTGTACCGGTTCCATGTGGTCATTGTTTTATTACAGCAGACCAGACGATTTTTCTCTGTACCAGAAATTATGTCTTCCTAGATTCATGCTTGTCAAATATGTCTGTCTCATTTATGATAGGGTTTACATTATGCCCCGTGGATTCGGAATATATGATGCATCATCATTATCCTATTAAAAGCAAGAACGCATTTTTTTCTGCCAAAAAATACGCAATATGAAAGCCTATGGACGGAAGAAATGTGAGTTACGACAGCCCAAATATGGCACATACTGAATCTAATTTATGAAACACAATTGTATAATGTTGAAATATAACTTGGACTAAATACACATATTTTCAATTAACAAATGTTTTTCCATTAAATATATTGGTATCGATTTAACAACACCATGTTGCCGCGAAATTTAGAACGAAGACGCATGCCAACTTGTTGGCCTAGCACGCTACACTTTACCAATATGTATTTTGAGACGACCCCCGACGACTATGTATTGATTGAAATTGTGAAGAAGAGGGGCCGCCAAAAGGTTACCTGCAGCTCGATCGGTTTTGGATGCCGAACAAAACATTGTGTTCGGGTTTTAACTTATTGCTTCATATAAAAAGAGATATTGTCGGAATATGACGTAAGCTTACTTATACGATATATTCAAGTGAAAATGAATACTTATGAATTATAGGATCTTATTTCCAAGCACGAGATCACGACGTCTGTTCGTGGGACTTGCGACCTTGACCCACGAATGAAGCGCATTGTTATCCTATGTACAATGTATGTCATAATGAAATCACGACGTCGTTTCTATGCTACATAATTGAACTGAGGCCTCATTTGGGATGATTAATGGAAACAAAGACATTTGAATGATTTGAAATAACTTTTTTTTTAATATGTAGTCTATTGGGCTGTGCTACACATAATTATCACCGCGGTTAAAAAGGATCTCGAGGCTTTTCACAAACTCTCTTGCATAATGTTAACTTTCAAAATTATGCAATTGACTAGCAAAACTTATTTTTGCACAAATAAAACTCGCACACCATAGGAATTTTTTTTCAACTTTCATATGAAAATCTAGCCCGAGTTTCCTCTGGCCCTAACACCAGACTTAGACATTTTGATATATAGTTTGGTTTAGTATTGATTTGTTTAACGTCCCATCAACAGCTATGGTCATGTCTGGTGTAGACATCTATATGTCAAAATGTCTAAGTCTGGTGTTAGGGCCAGAGGAAACTTGGGCTAATGTAAATCGACCATTTCAATTCTAAGACCACTTACAATTAGCTCTGTAATTAATTTTGTAAACAAATATCTGGAAGCAGATGCATCACGTATAAACCCTTTAAATACGCCACTACAGGAAGGGAATAAACAAGGGGCTAATCTTCAATTAAATTAAACTGAGGTTTAAATACATATGGGCTCACGAATAATGCCTACAGAATAAAAAATAATACGCAAAGTAACTCGTATACCCATGTGTTCATTACGTTGTGAAGTTCTATGTACAATTTAAAACGGAATCTTGTGTACTAGGCCTATGTACACACGATTGTCCGTGTCTGGATGATGATGTAAGAGCATGTCTGTGCCGGCAATGTTTGGCATAAATTGATCTTACTGATGCTTTATCATCAGGTAAATGCGTTTGGTAACAATACTCGGGAAAACTGACCGATGAAAGCGTGTTTGATAATACTATTATTAATGTCCGTGAATTTAGATACTGTTATTTACAAGGAAATTCAGGCTTCAAATGGCCCCGACGGTCAAAATCTACAGCGCGACAAACATCGAACAACATTCAACTGATTGCTGGGCTTTCCTGTATAACAATTATTTGCGTAAGATGCAGAAGAGGGTTGTAAATGTAACTTCAAAATAACCATTTTTGCTCTATGACCAATAATGATGATGGCAGTGCGGATTTTTCCTTTTCTAGAGAAAAAAAAACACTTTAAAGAGTAAAATCATCAGAAATTAGTGATAAACTTAAAATGAAGACGTTCGTTAAAGCCTGGTCATGTTTCAATGGTAGTCGTAGGCTAATGGTATGGCGTCGACAACGGTGAGTTAATACGTCATCACATGCTCAGAAATACTACCCAGTCAGTCCGAAAGCCGTTTGTAATCCTTTTTACCCTGTCTCTTTGTTTTGGTGTCTCGTCAACCACGCACATGGACAATGACCCAAGTAATTCCATTCATACACATTTCCCCTCTTATTTTAGAACATTACCTTTCAGATTCTGTTCTAACCGAGAGCCTCAAAATTGCAACTAAAAGTACACGGATGTAATTTGCAAATATACATAATACCATCATCAGAGTGATACCTAAATGTTGACATGCTATGGACGTTTCTGATACAAAGTACCGGTATTTCACTCAGTTATCAAGTTCTTTAACGTTATTAACCCATTTGAGTATCGATAGTAAAACATCATCATAACATCTCTCCCATTGCTCTTTATGATACATCTTCACTTCAGAATTCATCTTCTATATTACCGTCAATACATCTATTAAATATTCTATTTCTCCTACCAATATCTTTACAATGTTTGTGCAGATTATCCCCTGCGTTTATATTTTACTTCAATTTGTTTGTAAACAGAACTTATCAACTAGGTGATGATAGAAAAGCCCTTCAGGTGAGCTTGAAGTTCGACCTATCATATCTTGTATATATATATATATATATATATATGTAGCCGAATCGTTTTTTATCTGTTATGTCACTATTTACTTGTATATCGCTCTCGAAACATATTTAAGTTACAAAACGGACATTCATGCTTAACAGTTCCTATCCTTAAATCATTTCCGCTCAAACACTCGTCATAGCATGTGCTTAGATACAAATCTCTGTGCACGTTAGTTTTAACAAGTACCGAGACTATTCCTAGTAGTGGCTTCCACAGGAAATCTTCTTCCAAATTCGTTATTAACTAAATAGGGGCTTGAAGTGTTTCATTCTCCATCCTAAAATCTGTTTACAAAATGTTTAATGTATTTTCTCTATGTAGTAAGCCTTGTGTAATCCCCATATTTCTGATGTACTTTGAAATCACAAATATTCGTTGTTTTTTAATTGCGTTGATTTCGTGGATAATCTTCATCCACAAATTCATAGGACCAAGAAGTAATTCTAAGTTTGATAAATATAGCCATTCTCTGACGGGTACCCGTAATCCAAAAAATCATAAACTGACGATTTGGCATTTTGTGAGGAAACCACGAAATTTGAGCCCCACGAAAATATCTGATTTCACAGTATAATATAGAACACTACTAGACAAAACATAGAGTTTCTAAATTTAGAGAGTAATTTACTTTTAAAAAAGACAAGTGAAAACAAGGTCTTTCTACCCTGTTTTAATAAATGCTTCTTGGCTTAACAAACCTCCCTTGTCATTCATTAGCATACCAAAATAGTTAAAATCGTTAGCAATCAATAATTATTTATCACATACCATAAGTTGCTGTTTCGCGTATTTCCTTTTTTTCCAAATGATTATACATTTGTTTTAAAATAATCCACTTTTTAATGTAAATACTAGGGCTGCCTCACATTGTTTGCTATATTTCT